CCATCTATTGATTAACGAGCTAGTCAACTAGAGGCTTACTAGGGACATGGTGTTGTCTATGTATCCACACATGTATCTGAGTTTCCTATCAATACAATTCTAGCATGGATAATAAACGATTATCATGAACAAGGAAATATAATAATAATCAATTTATTATTGCCTCTAGGGCATATTTCCAACAATAGCTTCATCATCACCGTCATCACGTCGTCGTGGTGACGAAGCTCTCCCTCGACACTCAGCTGGATCAAGAGTTCGTGGGACATCACCGAGCCGAACGTGTGCAGATCGTGGAGGTGCCGTACTTTCGGTACTAGGATCGGTTGGATCGTGGAGACATACGACTACATCAATCGCGTTGTCATAACGCTTCCGCTTACAGTCTATGAGGGTACGTGGACAACACTCTTCCCCTCTCGTTGCTATGCATCACCATGATAGATCTTGCGTGTGCATATGATTTTTTTTTGAAATTACTGTGTTCCCCAACAGTGGCATCCGAGCCAGGTCTATGCGTAGATGTTATATGCACGAATATAACACAAAGAAGTTGTGGGCGTGGGTATATACATATTGCATGTTGTCTCTACTCCTAACTAGTATAACGCCCGTGCGTTGCCACGGGCTCTTCAAAATTTATAATCAGTATCTTTCATTTATCATCCTCTCATATTGGGTGATTATGGGGTGCTCTAATTAGAAATACAACAATCAAATATTAGGAAATTTCACCGAACGAACAACAACGAATAATACGATATCTATCAAACGAATAAAATGAGGTCATATTTTTGGTCCGTCATGCACTTCTGTTGAAAAGTGCCTATCCCTTTTAGAATCAACCCACTGTTTGCTCGCACGCAAAAAAATACATCTCTTAAGTGGGGAACCGATCGGTGCCAAAAAGAACTCAAACTCCTATCCAATCTCGACTTCGTGCTCTTCCACTTCCATTGATAAAGATGGGACGTCAAGGGTTTCATCATGATGACCTCGAGCAGCCGCCGACATCCCTCCCTACATCTACCCTACCCCCTGCTGCCGCTTGCACTGTCCTTGCTCCTCGAGGGAGCTAGGGACACAATGTTCTCTAGGATGGGCATGACCAGATCCACGAGGAGGCCACATTCTTCCATGGGAACCCAACCAAGCACACCACCCTCCGCAACCATCCAATCCCGGCCTAACAAAGTCAAGACCCGCCATCAATCCACAAATCAGGCTCGCTGCATCCAGGTTCACTGCAAGTCTGCGACGAGTCTGTAGTCGACATCTTGACTTTGGCTATCCCCACAGAAGAATCATCGGATCCTGCTTACTTTTACCATCACTTCGTCTCTTCCCAAGGCAGTGACACCACCCAGCCAATCACCACCACCGCTTGCGGCTTGCCTACATAAAATCATGAGAAATCCCCATGGCGGTGCTGTAAGATCACCTTGGCGACCTCGACAGTGACCGACTGGTCTAAGATCTAAGCTAGCCGCTCTTTGTAGAAATCAATAGAAGTAGGCATGTGACTCAGATTTGTTCTTTGGTGTGCATGCGTTTCTTGCTGCCCACCAGCTCTTGTCTACAACTCGCCTATCTCTGTACCAGCTCTTGGTCTACAACTCGCCTATCTCCATGCTCGAGACGACCAAGCTCGATGCGCAAGCCGCATACGTCTGCTAGAGCTATATCCAAGCCCTATGATTTTTGGATCACTGGCACTATGGGTGCCAGGACCGGAGTCGCCCTCATCCACCAAGTGGATCAAGGAGGCCCACCACCTAGACTCTACATCGCAACATTTTGTGTTTTCCTATAAAAAGTAAAGAACCTTCTCTAATAAACGTAAATATAACCTTTTGGTTTTATAGTCTCAACTTTCCTACACTTCAATACCAGAAGGATTTCTTGGTTTTATTTAATGACCTTCTTGAATGTCATTCACTTGGAAAGGTAGTAATATAATCTATGATATTAAGGCAAATTATTAGTCATATTAAAGTGCAAAAGGCCCTATAGGAGTCAAAGCATGACTTTTATGGTTATACTGTAATTTGCAAGATCTGAGATTTATGCAAGTGTACAATTAGAGAAGAGCCAATTAAATAGATTTTCACATTCAGAATAGTACGATTAGCAGTAGCACTTCAATTTTTTCATGTTTGATCAACTTGCTAGGTGGTTATCACTAAGCATGTTGGAATGATGAGCATAACCTAACTTAGTTCAGTACGTGTTGCTGCAAATTAGTTCAGTACGTACGAAGCTGTTGCTAATTTCAATGCCTGGCTGTTGCAAGTTTCTAATGAAAAAGTACTTCAGGTCAAAGGTCAGGGAATATACACTTTTGTTATCATGGTTGTTTCCTTATAGTGAACAACTTTGATCACCACTTCAGCAGCTACTATCTATAAGAAGACATTAGCTAAGTAGATATAGGCAAAGAAAGCATGTAGGCAAAACCAGAATTAAAAACATCCTTCTCAATGGAGCTCGTGCAGTTCGGAAGACCCTAATCATCGATGAGGGACCCCTCCGATGGTAGCATGGCATGACAATTACCGTCAATGACGACACCCAAAGTACCTTGCATAATCCATCGATCCAGTTCGGAACAATCAAGCACATACCTTGCAAAGTGATGTGGATCTGAAGCAGAGGGGAAGGTAAAGGCTCATGTGAGGTGGAATGAGACGTTGATATAGACGTGCATGCATGAGAATAAGGCGGTGCCCAGGATGGATCTCCATAGGAGGAGGCCGGATCCGCTGGGGAGGAGGTCGCTGTAGTACCTGCCATCTGTGCGATGGATCACGGGGCTGGCAGGCAGGGGGAGGGGATAGGAGGGAGCGGGTGGGCTAGAGCGCAGATGGCGGGTGCCCCCGACGACGGCTGGGAAGGATGGTGGAGGAGGTGGATGAGGATGGCGGCGGCGACGTCTGCGGTTGCGCCTCGTCCGCAACCATGCTGGTGGTGGTCGATGTGAGAGCCGGATGGCGTCGGCCAGAATCAGGCAGGAGCGACAAAGATTTAGAGGAGAGAGAGAATGGAGGCGATGAGCGATGGGAGGAAGGGCCACCGGCGATTGGGGTGGCCTCAGATCCGCCCTCCGTGGCCGCCTATTTCATGGGACGAACACCCGTGCTCACCGTCGGGCTCGCCTTCGGCCGCTGCCTCGCCGACATTCACGACGTAGAGCCCCTTCCTCCGATCCCATTTGCCAGGGAGGCAGCGCCATCCTTCATCGTAGAGAACGAGTCCACACTGAGATCCCAACCAGATCGTGATTGCGCCTCCCCAAACCGCAGCGGCACATCCCACTCCAACAACGACCAACCTATATGAGGCGGAGGGTCAGTGTAGGACGCGAGCGCCGTCACCATGGACGTGGGGGACGCCGTAGGTGGGAAGGAGGCGGCGACGGCGTCTGTGTCAGGAAGATCGCACGACGGTGGCAGCGTTTACTCGAGGGGATCGAGAGGAGCTGCGTTTGGTGCCGGGTGGGTTCTTTGGTGCGTGCGTGGGGCTGGAGATTGTGATAGATGATCAGGTGAGGGCGTGCCATACCTGGATCGATAGCCTTACCATACCTGGTGGTAATTTAAATTTATTACCATATTCGATATTTCCCGAGTTATGGCCTTACCATACCTGGATTGATAGCCTTTGGGGTAATTTATATTTATTACCATATAATTACCATATTCAAAATTTCCTGAGTTATGACCTTACCATACCTGGATTGATTTATTACTATACGTGGATTAATTATGATTTATTACTATATGATTTATTACTATACGTGGATAACCTTACCATACCTGGTGGTAATTTAAATTTATTACCATATTCGATATTTCCCGAGTTATGGCCTTACCATACCTGGATTGATAGCCTTTGGGGTAATTTAAATTTATTACCATATTCGATATTTCCCAATTTATGGCCTTACCATACCTGGATTGATAGCCTTTGGGGTAATTTAAATTTATTACCATATAATTACCATATTCAAAATTTCCTGAGTTATGACCTTACCATACCTGGATTGATTTATTACTATACGTGGATTAATTATGATTTATTACTATATGATTTATTACTATACGTGGATAGCCTTACCATACCTGGTGGTAATTTAAATTTATTACCATATTCGATATTTCCCGAGTTATGGCCTTACCATACCTGGATTGATAGCCTTTGGGGTAATTTACATTTATTACCATATAATTACCATATTCAAAATTTCCTGAGTTATGACCTTATCATACCTGGATTGATTTATTACTATACGTGGATTAATTATGATTGATTACCATAAATACGTTGGGTATTGCCGGTCAGACGAGAAAAGAGAAAAACCGGTGGGAGGGGCTGGTGGGAGGTGGGACGAAGAAAAACCGGTTGAAAATAAACCGGTTGAAAGTGGGGGGGACTATTCAACCAATTCGTCCATTAGGAGTAGAGATGAAGCAGTTGGTAGTCTCCGCCGGTTAATTTTCATCCATCTATCATGGTTTTTTTCGTCCCACATTCACTGGTTTTTTTTCTAGATTTTTTTGCTTCCCCTCCCACCTCCCACGTCCGTTTTTTTCGCTGTTTTTTTGTCACCTCCCACGCTGTCGATCCTATCCCCGATCTCCATCCTCTCGATAGTTCTTTCGTTTCCGCCCACGCTGTACGAGGGGAGACCCCGCCGCCGCCGAGGGGAGGGGACGAAACCGGAGACGCCGCCGCCTCCGTCCGACGGGAGAAGCAGGTGAGAAGCCGTCGTCCGAGGGGAGACCCTGCCGCCGCGGATCCAGGGCAGGGCGGCTTGAATCCCTGTCCCCGGGGTCGCCCCCGCCGATCTCCGGGAGACGCCGTCATCCCCGCCGCGTCTCCAGGGCAGGGCGGTTTCAATTCACCTCACCCTCCAGAGGGGCTCCGAGACCAGGCCAGGATCCCCTGTAGCCTGGGAGGGGTTCAGTGACCCGTCCGAAGCGGAACTCGTCTACGACCACATGCTCTGGGCGGTCCTGCACGAGGCTTTCAACTGCAGCAACGTGGACATCTACGGGAGGCTGGCGATTGGGTACGTGAATATTTAGTCCTGTTTTTTAGGTGTTCGTTGGAGTTTGGAGAAGGAGTACAGTGTTATTGTGACATCCCATGTTTTGCTATCGTGCAGTATTCGAAAAACAAGTGCACTGCTATTATGTTTGCCGCAGTAGATTATTGCTTGAATATGATGATCAGCCAGCCTATTCTCGTGAAGTTACTAAATTCTTGTTCAATTCTCCTGTGTATCATCGATTTCATATGAGTGCACATATGCATTTGGTGCTGGGTCCACTCGTAAAATATCATTCTTTCTTTTCACATCTCCATCAGGAAATCTACCGCATTATTCTTGTGTGAAGAGTGGACTGCCACACCTGTTTGCGAAGCCCTTGGTGACATTGCTGATGTATCTGTGGCAGGTATGATTATCTCGTAGATTATCTTTTGCCTGACACTCTTCTTAGTCTTTACTGCTGCTCTCAACTGACCTCATATATTTTCATCTCTCCCCACCATTGAAGTACTAGCTATTTTGTTCTGGGGTCAAAGGATTATGTAATGGTGCAAGGTGAGATACTTGAAGGTCTGGTTGCCTGTATTGTCAGACGTGAAAGTTTTGAGAAACCTCCCACAACCTTCATTAGATATCCTAACAGATTTTCTGATGCATTTGAACATTTTCTCAGATTGTTTGATGCTTCTGATCTGTGAAGTTGAAAACACTTTATATGCCTACTGATTCAGAAAGCTACCATTATATGCAGGCGACTCTGATTTAGGACCAAGTTTATGACAAATACATGCTGCTAATAGGTCAGATGAGAAGCAGGTATTATTTAATATTGTGAAGTGGTATCCTCCTCTCTGTCAAACTTTGTATTGGTTCTACCTTCTACCTTGCTGTAACTTCTACTTCTATATGACAGCAAATGAAAGCACTTTTTGAAAATGTTGGATCTTCAATGTGTTCGGACCACTGTGATTGGTTTGGAAACAGTGGTCTTGAGGCGATGTCTCGAAATGCTGATACATTACCCGTCATCCATTTTCTACAACTGCGTCCAACGAACTATGAAATTAAGAAATTACAGGTTAGCTCATTTTATTGGTTCTTGTCCAACAATAGATTGTTCTTGACTGTAATGGACATACTTCCATTTTAAATGCATGATAACTATAATATCAGAAAGCCAATAGCTTGTTAGATAGTAATTCAGTTCTTCCTGTTTTGAACTGTTACAAGAGATGTTTCATCTGGTGAAGCAGAAAAATTTCCCTGCAGCTTTCAGATGTTACTGGAATAATAAAAAAATTGATTCTCTTTCAAATGATTACTTGTACTACAATGCTTATCCATGGGCACAGTGATTCTGCTTTTGGACATTATCAGCAAGAGATGAGGTAAATTTGCGAAATCATCCTTGTATTACAAGATGCTTATCCATGGACGTTTAAATTTTCACCCGTCTTTAAAAATATAATGCCTTCATTCATACGTTATGATTTTTTTCTCTCGCTTTTGCCATTTTTTATTTCTCACCTACCTTCACCACTCATGATTAAATCCGCATACTAAAACTTCTCTCCTTCCCTAGACAATGACTTCATGGCTACCATGACCATCTTCCTATACTATTAATGGCTTATTTATTTCCCATGTCTGAATAAGTTACACTTTATAATATGAAATGGATAGAGTATCTCATTAGTATATGGAAATATCTCTTCTTTCTTCTTCTTTTTTTAGATTTATTAACTCTAATGGATCCCCCATTTTCCTTTCTAGGAAAAATCAAGAGCATGCATATTTAGTACTGTACTTTATAAGAAGCAGTTTCCTTTCCAACCCATACAATCTCCATAGTACACTATGTTCTACTAGTATATGGTACGTGCTATGCACGTGATGTTTTGTGATCAAACAACAATCAAGTTTACACCATACAATTGTACATCGTCAACTCATCATTGGTGGCTTCATGCCATATGACTTTACACGATGGGTGCTTCACAAAACAGCCGCAAAAGTTCTTGCATAGAACTTTTACTTTCATCAACAACAGAACTCCAGAAATATCGTGTCCAACTTGTTTTGGTGCGTAGCCGCACCAAGCGAATTCCAAAAATCAGGGCCGTTGGGTCACTTGAAATCAATGGCTAATAAATGCTTCTATATCACGGCGGGTGATGAGTCCAAATTAAAAAATTCATGTACTGCGTGTGGATTTAGGGATTATTACTGGAGACAATGGAAAAACTTGAATCATGTTTGTAAAATGAATTTATAAGAGAATGTAATAGCTATTTAATTACAACATATATTAAGCTTTCACTTTATTTGTGTTTGTAATCTCATAACCAGGCGGATCAATCAATTGAAAAAAAGAAGATAATGAATAGTAGTATTAAGCATATGATTATTTGTACTAAATAAAATCCCTTCAGTTAACATTTTGCCCTTACCGTGGCTGCACTGCTGCATGCACTTCTCCGTCTCTCTCCCATCACGTGTAGCAGTACTTTTGCATGGTGGAATTTCTTGCCAGTAGTAGTACTCTAGGGTAGCACTCTCATGGGAGCCTACCGGAGATTTCTAGGATGCTGTGTCCGGCGGAAGATTCACGAACCTGCATGTACTCTCTACTGCGGTGGAAGTCTGCCAGCGAAGGGTGTGCACACTGCGAATCCCTCCATTGTGGGCCGTCCGATCACTCCATCTGACGGTCTATAAGAGGCCACATAGTCCTCTATCTAAACCAATTGAGTGCGAGCCGTCGGATTACAAAGATCCAACGGTCTATATCTCTTCATATTGATACACTATATAGGAGTATATATATGTTCTATTGTGTGGTTGTTGGTATTCTAAAAACACTTCTATGATAAGCCTAGCATTCTGTGTCCACAGCCAGGAGGCCTGTAAGAGTTACTAATTTAAGATAATACTGACGCGCCCAATTCATCATATAATACCAATAAACGTGATAATGTGAGTCGGGGAGTACAAGTCCGTCGCAGCAAAGTTTGCATCAACACAATGGAAGTGGTATTCTGTAGAAAAATAGCAGCCATCATCTCACAGACACCTGTACAATTACTTACAAGAGCAATCATGTAGTTAGAACGACATATTAGTATAGTTTTGCTATAACTGAGGCTAAGTTCTGCCGTAATGTTCTTGTTGCTGATAGCATGTGTATTGATGAAAAGTTAGATGACATGGATGCTTATGAGATTCTCTGTGTAGGTGCTTTCATCTGATAATTTTGATATTTTATTTACTGAATAATCTTCCGAGAATCAGGTTTGTAAAAGAAGACCTTATCCATGGCTGCATTTTTCCCTTGTGGGTATTATGAATTGTTCAATTCGTTTTTTGTTAACTGCTCAAGTAACTTTCTAGCATTTGAAGAGTTGTATTATCTTATGAATTGCTTTAAACTTTGTATGTGTTCTTCAGAATTATTTTAAGGACTTGACACTTTGGAATCTGAGACTATCTCTGAATCTCCAAGTGGAATAGGGGTTATACGGATTGAAGATAACAAAGCGCGTACATATATGTTCATTCCTACATGCTGACACCAGGTCTGTAATTTTATTTATTTGGGAAATACACAATTCGGTTGATGGAGAGGAATGCAATGACATGTCACTTGAATTACTGTGCCTTTATAATCCCTACAAAATTTATGATGTTAATCCTTTCATAATTTATATGACTGGACCACCATTTTTATGTAGGTCAATGAATTTGTCAAGATTGCTAGAGCTGCAAACATCCGTGCTTACATAATTTTCCAACTGAAGAATGACATAACTGCAATGACGGGGAAAGCCAAGGCTCAACGGCGACTCATTGACAGCTTACATGATGAGTAGGGAACCTGATGGGCTACCCTCTTCGGTAAAAACTTGCTTCATGCCATTGTATAATCTATTAAGAAATCACAGAGTCAAAAATTGCTGTCCCGTTCTCTTCGGTAACAATTTTTTATTTAGTAATCCTGCGCCTCAAAGTTCGTAATCCTGTAATGCATCCTTGAAATCAGTTTGTTCTCCACCATTGAGTATCATACATAATGCATCAACGGGTTAGGTAGAAATTGCCTGCACTAAAACCTGTATAACGAACAGACTGCCACATTTATTCAGTGCAACTCATCCCGCTTCAGCATCGAAGTTTCAAGGGGCCATGAGAGCGGAGGTAGCCAAGTCGTTGTTGCATTAAGGCAGAGTGTGGACGTAATTATCTCATTAGCGTTTAAGTGCTGGTTCGATAAACAACCTTTGATCCATGTGGTTTGTTATATATCTACTGATCCATGAAGAAAGTTTTCACTGGATACTTATCACCTGTTTAATTTACAATTATCTTTTGATTAATACTTTCTCTACACAAGTTTTTTTATCTAATTGTTCCATTCTTCATAGGTTTATAGGGGTATTTGTAACCTGGAGCAATCAGACACACTTTCTTATCCGGAAATGAAATCCGAACATCTGTTTGGTTTTAATATGTAAACTAGTGTACCTACTTAGAGTGATCTTTTAACTCAATGAAAATTACAGAAATTTGCTTGGTAAAGGCCTCATGTCACTTGGCATCAAAGAGCTCAAGCTTCTTGAAAAGCAACTTGATTCATCCTCAAGGTACATAAGATCCAAAAGACTAATTGATTTCTTTCAGTATAATCATGATTCAGAAGAAAGGAGCACTAGCTCTTTCGTTGTCTATAGAAAACAGTACAAATTGTTCCTTTGTTCTGCTTATTTCTACTGTGTTAAATAATAATAGGCAATATTATGCTGCTAGATGTAGGGTTTCATGATCACTTTTGACCTGTGTTGTAGGTAGATTACACCTATTTTTGTCTTGCTTTGATTTTAAGTAAAATTGAGCTGGGCGTGTGCTCTGTTCAAACAATAAACAAAATAGAGTATCCTCATGCTGTAAATATACCTCAGTTTTTTTTCAATTTACTTAACACATCTCAGGTTAGTGAGATGCTCTGTACACTACATCTATTGAACTATGTGCAGTTTTCAGCTTGATGTCTTTGATTTAACGTCATTATTCTAGGACTGGAATATTTAGCATTTGACATATTGATTCCAGTAATGCAATTAATGCATTGTAAAAACTAGGAATAATTTGGCTGTGTCGTCCTCGATATGTTATGACACAAAAATGTTGATCATTTTCACGATTGCAGACACATCATATGCTTCATCATCTCACTGGTCTCTAGAGCAAGGTAGGCTCTTAACAAAATAAATTTTATCATATTATGTATTCATAAATTTTCTCACACAAATTTATTCAGATATAAAATCGACTGTACACTGAATAATTTTGTAGGGAGATCTTTTGAGAAGAAAATAAGTGCCTTAGAAGAAAAGAAAATGTAATTTCCCATTGCATGTATTAATTAGATTACTGAATTCTTTCCCTCGAGAAGAAATAATTTAACTCAGTCATTTCTGTCCTTTCTTTCGGGTTTAATCTTCATAAAAGTGGTTGAGTTTTGGCGTTGGCTCGCCAAGCCTATCAAGCTTGTCCAACATTGTCTGAGATAGTTTGGGCATATTCAGCACAGGCCTCCTGAAGCTCTCGTGCATAGCGGATAGCTAAAGCATGCTGATACTGTCAAGAGAGGTCGGGGTAGACCGAACTTGACATGGGAGGAGTCCGTAAAGAGAGATATGAAGAACTGGTGTACCATCAAAGAACTAGCCATGGACAGGGGTGTGTGGAAACTTGCTATCCATGTGCCAGAACCATGAGTTAGATGCATTATCTTATGGGTTTCACCTCTAGCCTACCCCAACTTGTTTGGGACTAAAGGCTTTGTTATTATTATTGTTATTGTTACATTTCTGTCCTTTCTAGGAGGATTTCAATTGTTTTCCCAATTTTCCTTCCACCATTTTGTAACCCTTTGCAGAACCGTCTGGGGAGGTTCGCAGCATTGTCTACTCATCTGATGGGAAATCGGTATCTGTTATCTATCATGTGGTTATGGAACTGATACAGATGACCCTTCTTTGCCTGGGGGTTATATGTGGTTCAGTTTGCAGAATCTTGTTTGGTTTTACATTGATCTTACATGCTCAATTTTTAAGCGTATAACCAGTTTGTAGGTCCAAATATTTGGTATGTGGACGTGACCAATGGGGCATGGAGATTATGGTGAGGCATGGTGCTGTGGTGGCGGCGGTGAAGGTAACCTCGTCGAAGGCGGTGTCGCTGGATGGCTATCGATGAAAGCGGCATGGGGATGGGGGAGGTGGAGTGTCGAGGGATGGAGGCATCGAACGGCAGCCAGGGAGACGGGGTGGCAGTGAGATTGGACTAGCTTGCCTAGGAGTGTGGGCAAGATTTCCTTTCCAGGATGGCCGAGGGTTTCTCTCTCTCTCTCTCTCTCTCTCTCTCTGTGTGTGTGTGTGTGTGTCAATAGACCATAAACTTTTCTTCATTTATAGTGCTAAAGATATGTCAATACATGTTCTTACATTTAGGCTCCTAAACTTGTTGAATGAGTTCTATATACAAGATTTAAGTTGTCCTTCTATAAATTAAGACTGCCTTTGCTAATCTTTGTTGCATTGCTATTGATGAGTCTATAATTGTCAACCTGGACAGTAACAACACTATCGTTTTATCTCTCAATGTGAGCAAGTAAGATTTTGTTCAGAGCTTTATTCTATTGGATTATTTTTCTATTACAGAAGTTGATGCTCGATCTTGTTATTCATTTCCTGGGATCATTTCTTAGTCTACTGCATCATTAACAAGAGCTTGGGGATTGCTTCGAGGATTCTGCGGATTTCTCCCATAACCTCTTGTAGTGACACAATGCTATGATCTTCAACCATAAAAATGAAACCGTCAGCATTGATGGCCTGCTCCTATGATCTCACAGGTACCAAAATGCAGCTTAAATCTCTTTTTAAGAATTGGTTCATGATGTTCTTACATTTAGCTACTCATGTATAGCTTTTAGGTTTACTTTTTTTTCTCCTTGTAAAATTCTTTTTTTGTTTGCTCACTTTGTAATCAACTCTATGATTTTATGATTTAGAAATCAGTCCAGGTGCCTATAAATGAATTTAGTTTAACTCTGTAATTAACCCTTAAGAATAATATATAATTGTTTTGGTTGCACTCATCCCTTATTCAGAGCGTCACCAATGGTGATAGCGTTGTGTCAAGGAGAAGGTGGAGAGGGAGAAAGAGAAAAGGAGAATGGAAGCCAAGTGATAGACAAAGGGAGTGAAAGATAGAAGACAGGCAATAACTTCTGTTCTCTTACTAACGCTTTATTTATTGAGGACCTGTATTAATGCACAGTTATTTATCGCTGTATGATGAAAACATTTGGCGACTCAAACAGACAAAAAATAAACAAATTTTATGTCCTTTTGGGTCACTGTGTTCGAGTTTAGGGTGGCATGTGTGACACTCGGCTAATGGAGCTGCTCATCGGCTATCGTACAATGATTGTGCAAATAAGTTATGTAAAACATGGGTCAGGTACCCGGCGTTTTGTATTCATGATTTTTTCTGGACTCGGATTGCGCTGAGATGAATGAATAAAACACAACCTATTTCAACTAAAAAAACATTTTGTTGGTTGGCAATAACATTATTATGTTTGATAGTATGATGTGTGTTTGATGATTGTCAAGAAAAATATGCGTGTTGGGTGAGAGGGCATTGTTCTCAGTTATTTTAGCTATGTGAACAACATCTTAATTTTCACCAAAAGCACGTGAACGCTCGAGCGTTCTACTAGTCATCGTAGTGCTTAGGCAAAACCCTGCGACGGTAGCTTTATCATCACTGTCATCACGCCGTCGTGCTGACGAAGCTCTCCCTCGACACTCAGCTGGATCAAGAGTTTGTGGGACATCACCGAGCCGAACGTGTGCAGATAGTGGAGGTGCTGTACTTTTGGTACTAGGATCAGTCGGATCGTGGAGACGTACGACTACATCAACTGCGTTGTCATAACGCTTCTGCTTACGGTCTATGAGGGTACGTGGATAACACTCTTCCCCTCTCGTTGCTATGCATCACCATGATAGATCTTGCGTGTGCGTAGGAATTTTTTTAAAACTACTGTGTTCCCCAACAGTGGCATCTGAGCCAGGTCTATGCGTAGATGTTATATGCACGAGTAGAACACAAAGGAGTTCTGGGCATGAGTATATACATATTGCTTGATGTCACTAGTTGTTTCTTGATTCATCGGTATTGTTGGATGAAGCGGCCCAGACCGACATTACGCATACGCTTACGCGAGACTGGTTCTACCGACGTGCTTCGCACACAGGTGGCTGGTGGGTGTCAGTTTCTCCAACTTTAGTTGAATCGGATTCAATGAACAGGGTTCTTTCTGAAAATAAAAAAACAATCACTATACCGTGTTGTGGTTTTTGATGCGTAGGTAAGAACGTTCTTGCTCAGCCCATAGCAGCCACGTAAAACTTGCAACAACAAAGTAGATGACGTCTAACTTGTTTTTGCAGGGCATGTTGTGATGTGATATAGTTAAGACATGATGCTAAATTTTATTGTATGAAATGATCATGTTTTTAACACAGTTATCGGCAACTGGCAGGAGCCATATGGTTGTCGCTTTATTGTATGAAATGCAATTGCCATGTAATTGCTTTACTTTATCACTAAGCGGTAACGATAGTCATAGAAACAATAGTTGGTGAGATGACAATGATGCTTCGATATAGATTAAGGTGTCAAGCCGGTGACGATGGTGATCATGACAGTGCTTTAGAGATGAAGATCAAAGGCACAAGATGATGATGGCCATATCATATCACTATATTGATTGCATGTGATATTTATCTTTTATGCA